TGATGTTGCATGTATGGTTCAGAAAACAACTTTCACAACACAAAGCAGGTTGGTAGTGCTTTTGAGGCGACATGTTTTATTTATTATTTTCCACTATTCTTTTCAACTCATCGGCTCCAACCAAGAAAGTAAACACTCATATAATATCTTTTGTTATATCAAATAATTTTAATGTTTGACAAGGAAGGTCTATCAAACATTAATACAAAATTTGACTATTGTATACTTATCCTAAGCTTCTTCTTCTTGCTTTCATTGGGGAAGAATTTTCCATCCATGCTTAATTTTTTTTTTGGGTAAAGTACTTCATGGCATTTCTTATCTGACACAATATTCTCCTGTCTTTGGTTGATTTTATTTAGGGGACTGGAGGAGGTTCTAGATCTCAAAGGAGCCATGATGCTAAATTTTCCAAGTTATCTTTTATTATGGTAAGAAAAAAAAAAGCTAATTTTTTTAGAAGTTTATCTGGTCCTACCTTTCTCATAATAGTGTCTTGAGCATCCTATACCTATCTCTTCCTCGCTAAAAAGGAAAGTTAGATACCATTTTTAGCATTTAGGTGGCATGAAGTCCTGGGGGGGTCAGTTAAATTGGCTTCCCAAACTCATTCTGACGTGTTTTGATTCAACCCATAGGTACTATTAGTATTGGGAATGATGTCATGTGCTACCTTGTCGGATTCGTCAAGTTGTATGCCACTGGCATCCTTATCTGGTACACCTGAAAATGTTCTTTCTCCCCACATTCACAGTTCTAAAAGGTTCAAAGCTGAGAGAGGATTAGATGAGAAAAATGTAAAAACTTGAAGATGTTTGTTTTGTACATTTGTAGATATGATATTTCTTTAGGCCCGTCAGTGCTCTTAATTTCAATAAAGTTTCTTCAAGATTTACCCATGAGAGAGAGATTGTCCGTGTAGGTCTTCTTCTTCCATTAAAGAATAAACCAAATAACACATTGCTGCCCTTATTTCTAGGGATATCAATAAAGTTGATTTGACCCACATTCACATTCACTTTCTCTTTTCTCTTAATTATGGGATTCAGGATTTACCTCATTGACTTACCATGGAATATATTGGATGTGAAAAATGATATTAAATATTGAGCTGCCCCTGATTATTTTTGAGGTACTCTGGTTTGGCTTTGGGGTTCAACAATTGTGGAATATATATGGATTTTGCCGGCAATGTCAGAGAATGGTGACTGCTTACCAACTAGAGAAGAAAGCTTTTATTATTACTATTATCATTATACTTTTCTCATCACCAACTAGAGAAACTGCCCTCATTTCTAGGGATATCAATAAAGTTGATTGACTCATATTCACTTTTACTTTTCTCTTAATTATGGGTTTCAGGATTTACCTCATTACACACGCACACCACCTCTAATTGACTTACCATGGAATAGATTGGATGAAAAAAAATGATATTAAATATTAGGATGCCACTGATTATCTTGGAACAACAAAGTAAAAATTCGAAGAATGGATTTTTCTTTGGTAACATAAGTAGGGTTTTAAATTTACTCTGATTTGGCTTTGGGATACAATAATGGTGGAATATATGAGGATTTTGTCGGCAATGTCAGAAATGGTGACTGCTCACCTACTAGAGAAGAAACCTTTTTATTATTATTATTATCATTATACTTTTCTTATTCACTTTTTAGTATACCTATTACTATGTCATTCCACTCATTGCTGTTATTGTTGAAGGGAAAGTAGATATCATTATTTGTACAGGACACACTCTTTTCTACAAGGAATCTTCACCCTTCCTTTGAATTGCTCAACTGTTTGTGTTTTCATTTTTTGTTTTCAAGCTTGATTGCGTTTTAAAATGATACCCGTCCATTTCATATGCCATGATGTGAAAACAATGGGCAGAATTCATTGCCTTTTGACCTTTACTTTACTTTATTCTTCTATTGCATAGTTTGTAAATTACTTTCTTTATTTTCGCATTGATTCTCCCAATTTTCTATGGAGAACAAACTTGCTGAAAGTTGTCACTAGAAGGTAAGATGTAGGAAATTACCTTACAGATGAATGATTTGAGAGAGAAAAAGTAAACAACGGATTTTGCTTTTCATTAGTAGAGTAGAGCTAGTAAATTTTCATGATGGAGGAAAAAATTTAACCATCTAAATTTATTTAGAAAACTATAAAAAATCTGATTTTTTTTTTTAAATATATTTTTTAAGCCAAGACAAACTAGGAGATAGTTGTTAAACTCTCCTCTGTTCCCCTAAAATAGGGCCTTGAAGTTGCTTGAAACTTGCTAGCATACTTTCTTGGAAAAAAGCGTGCATTACTGCGAGATTCCACATCGGTTGGGGAGGGCAACGAAGCATTCTTTATAAGGGTGTGGAAACCTCTCTCTAGTAGACGCGTTTTAAAAACCTTGAGGGGAAGAAAAAAAGGAAAGTCCAAACAGAACAATATCTCCTAACGGTGAGCTTGAGCTGTTACCATTACTGACTCAATCTTCTTCAATCCCAGTTGGCGGGTCTCCAAACATATTTCTGAGGTATTTTTCTGGAAACTAAGTGATTGAATTGATGTAAACTCCATATTTCTTAACTTGATTCTATGCATATCTGTGGTTTTTATCTCTGTTTTCCCATCTGTTGCAGTCAAATTTGTATGGTAGGAGTGAAATCTCACCTAATAGAACACTGGTGTTGGAGATTATCTCTCGATTATCTGAATTATTTTGAGTAAGAAAAAGAAATACTTGGAATTATACATTAATATCACAACCTTTTCTTTTTGTCTGAATGACATTTTACTGTTTGTTTCACATGCTAAGTCTACTTTTTTGGTATGCACTTTTGGCCCTTTCCCTGTGAACTTTGCTACAAAGGAATGTCACTATGCATTTTCCCATCAAAACCCCCTTCCCCACCAAACCTTCATTTTATTGGTTAAGTGGCCCCAATTTCAAAGGAACAACAGGAAGTGTGTATGAAAAGCTAGGTGGAGATAGATAGGGATTTTCAAATTAATATCTTTTGTGAAAGAATAATTATCAAACCTACTAGCCTTCTATTAATTCTTGATGTGAAATGGAGGGGGGGATTAAGCTTACTATTGTATGTCTAATCATTTTCCTTTTGGTTTGGACAGATTTGAATTTTTGGTTCTTTGTTTGACAAAACATGTTTACATTATTGTAATAATGACATTGATTAATGGATTGAAAATGCCTTGACAGGGAGTAATTATACATCAACAAGATGGTTACATAGTTTCTTCATGAATTTATTATGAAAATATTTGAAGGTTTTAGAGAAAGTTTTGAGATATTTTGTTCGATTCAATTAGTTAAGATATCATATATTTGTTTTTGAAGGGGTTGAAAAACATCAACTTGAATATGGGTTACGGGTTATGTTTCGAGAACGAGTGAAGGTATGTGAATTTGTAACGTTAATTATTAGACTAATTATTTAGATATGTCCTCATTGGTAATATATATATATATATGTATAGATGATAAAAATAAAATTGTTTTTAGGTAATGCTCTCTACCAAATGAACACCAAATGTTCATTTGGTAGGTTCTTCCACTTGATTATTACTTTTATTGTATTTACTTATCTTTTTTAAGAAACAATTTTAATATTGTGAAATTATTTTATTTTATTTTATTTTATTAGTTGAATATTAATATTATGTTTTTGGTCTTCGTTCACCCACCGATTAAAAAAAAGTCAATCTATGAAGGGCAATAAAGGATGAAACATGGTGGTTGGCCATTGAAAATTGTAAGGGTAGATGGAGAATAATACATTATGGTGATGTTTGCTTTAATTTGAATTTATCAAATTTAGAGATGAAATCTTTTTATACGCTTGGAATTGAATTACTAAAAAAAGGTTAAAAGAATTTTGGGTTTAGCTAAGGTTAATTTGTAAAATAAAATTTAGTTTCTTTGTTTATATTACTTTAGAAATTCATGGATTTGTAACCTGAAATAAAACGCCATCAAATTCTTTTTATTGAGGAGAATTTTATGATATGGTTAGTTAACATATATTGTTCTCCTTGAGCGGTTTTTAGTAGATATGGCTCTCATATTGCTCTCTTTGAGCTTTCCCTCAAGGTTTCCGCGGGCTTTCTCTCAAGGTTTTCGTGCTGGCACATTGTCCCGTGTCTAGCTTTAATATCATTTGTAGCAGTCCTATATTGTTTTCTTGGGCTTTCCCACTAGTCCCGTGTCTGGCTTTAGTATCATTTGTACCAGTCCTATATTGTTTTCTTGGGCTTTTCCACTATTAAGAAGGGGTTTTCACACACTTATAAAGAAATGTTTCGTTCCCCTCTCTAACGATATGGGGACCTCACATTATGATTTAAACTTCTTTGCAATTTGGTCTCTTTTTAAGAATTTCATTCTAATTTATATATTTGATTTAGTTATTTGAGTATTTGAATGAGATAAATAAATTCCGTTTAAAGCTCTTCTTGCAATTTTATTATCATGATTTTCATCATTTTCAAGTAAACATTAGGATTCTTAGCCAAATTTCAAATAATAAGAATAATAGTAATATATATTTAAACTTGGCTGAGAGACTTGAACCCCAAAGGTTAGGGAAACGATACCATAGAAACCACATGTGAATTTGAAGAGGGTTGCCCCAAAATAGGAACCTAATTGGGTATAGTGTTTAAGATTCATCACAGCAGAAAAAATGAAGGAAGATGGTGTACTCTCTACCTCTAGAGTAAAAGAAAAAGGGTCTTGTTTCCGTGCTAGTTTTCGTTTGTTCTAACCTTCAACAATGCCGAGCCTCCATCAGTGAGTCACGTATTTGACCACTAATTTAACAGCCCAAGCTCACCATTAATAGACATTGTCCTCTTTAAACTTTCCCTTTGAGCTTCCCCTCAAGATTTTTAAAACGCGTTTGCTAGGAAGAGGTTTCCACACCCTTATGAAGAATGCTTCGTTTTCTTCCTCAACCAATGTGAGATCTCACCGCTAATATTCCAAACATGACCCAGTTGTGTTCTTTGAAGAGTTTCCCAGGTCTTTAATGGTGTCGAAGTACCGAGTGATCATATTCAAATCCATGACCTCCTTGCCTGAGGTACCTTCCACCCTATGAGAGAATTCCTATATGTTCTCTCGGCCTTTTTGATCTGGAGAATTTTCTCTGCTTCTCCTTTGTATACACTCGCAATCTTAAGCCTTTGAGAAGGATGGACCATAATTATACAGAAATTAGAACTGAGGAAGCAAAACCGATTCTATAAGCTATAGACAAGTTAGTGAGTAACAATGGTAAAAGAGAGATGCTATGAAAGCATCTATATCACAAGATGCTATGATTCAATCCATGAGACTAGTGATAGTTTAGATGAACAAAAAACATAAGTTCAGTATCTTAGCCATGAGTTACACAAGACTAACCTATGAGTTCAATTACCCCTAAATGCTTCCAGAGTATCCAAGAACAAAGTTGATTAGATCCAACAATATTCACATGTTATATAGAAACTGTATCCTAATTCAATGTATAATTACTTGAGTTACCTTCTCAAGTTCCTCCATGCTTTAGCAAGAGTTCGTCTGGAACAGTTCAAGTCCAAATCCGCCACTAGTAGATATTATCTTCTTTGGACTTTTCCTCAAGGTTTTAAAACAAGTAATTGAGGGAGAGTTTTCCACATCCTTAAAAACAAGGTTTCGTTCTCCTCATCTAAATTCATTCGTAAAACAAGAGCTCGAACCACTGAAATAACAATAGGACATTACCCCATCAAAGAAAGTATTATACGTCAAAGCTGATTGATTAGAAAATAATTCAGACAACTACCGTCGAAGATATATAAGCTTACATCTGTGCTTTGGGATTTTGCAATTCATAAAATGCATCATGGCATTTGCTTCGACAATTCGGAATCGTATTGAGCAAACCAATTGCACAAACACATTGTCCTGCATAGATTAACATAATTCTTGCTAAGATTCGGGAATAGTTGTAGAATTAAAAATAGGCTAGTATTAGATTGTCTATGTTGTGTTGAGGATTATTGGGAGAAGTAGTTCCACGCGTGTGGAAGATCATTGGTTTGTAAAGTAAAGAACATCACCTTGGCACAACTAGTTTTCTGTCTCATCCTTCAAGCTGTTAATTCTTCCTGCCAACAATAAATTGCACCATTTCGTGACTCATAAACTTCCAAACCCAAATCAGATTTCAACCAGATCTCTAAGCAGTAAAACAAATTTTTATACAACAGACAAGTTTGCAACTCAAATGCCGAATTGGAATCCTAAACCTAAATATTGCAGTGCAGACAATAACAAACTAGAGCAGAGAGGCTATTATACGTATGCAGAACTACTCCACAATCTTCAAGAAGTATCAAAAACCTTCCAACAATTCCAACTAATTCCTAGCCTACAATAGAAACATCCAAAATCCAGCGATCACGAACAGAGCATTAAAACACAGAGAATCGGAGAGGAATGTAAACCTTAGTCTTGGTCTCGACACGAACATCAAGCGAGCGGATCCTGGTGGAGAGGATTCCGGCACGGTATTTGCCGGAAAATGGATTAATGAAACGGAAACCAGGCTGAGCCGACATCTGGAACCGTCCCCATTTCTCCACAACCCCTAGATTAGAATTCGTCCCTCCCTCTAAACTTTTGTGATGTGTAAACCTCTTCCTAGTCAATCTGTTCTGAGGCTGACGGTTATACGGGGCTAAAGTGGACATCATCGGCTAACAGTAGGCTTGAAATATTTATTCTCAAATACTGCGTGACCAACTTTTTCTAAATTTTTTTATAAATTTCCCACTCATTAAGGATGATCATAATAAGTAATAAAGTGTCTTAATCATGTAACAAAAATCTTATTGTGTCATTTGGGTTGTTTCCTTATCGTTTTTTTAGTTTTAAAATAATTTAGATCTAAAGGTCGAGAGAATTTCAACAAATGGTTGGGCAGAGAAAATGTTTTTTTTTTTAGGATACCCCGAGAACAAATCCAATGGAAATAGGGTGAAGCCTATAGCTCATAGGATTAGAGCTCATGGTTACAAACCACAATGTCGAAAGTTCAAACATTTCTTCATCCACAACCGGCCAATAAGAAAAGGACTTTTCTCATTAGGGGTAGGAAAATCATGATCGGGATAGTGGACCCAGAGCTTTTGAATAGCAATATCGAAAAGAAAAATGAAAAAGATAAGGTCATTTACCCCATCCCTTCCGGGAGGCATAAGAACCACTTTCACAGGATTCCAAGAATTCGGGGACAGTTCACTGTCACAGTCAAAAAAAAATGTTAGCAATTAAGACAGACAGACAGACAGACAGACAGCAGGCAGCTGTTGTGACAGCCAAAGTTCAGTGTCCTAAGGAAAGTGACATTTGAAAGTGTTCATAATACATTAACTATTCACTAAATGAGATTGAAAAAAAATAGTTAGAGCAACAAGTTAGCCAGCCATTCATTCACAGCTTCAAAAATACCACAATCTCCTTCCATTTCTATTATATCATATTATAAGCAGCTGCTGCAGGTCACGAGCTCCTGTACAACGGCTTCCATCGACGGCCTCTCGCTCTGTGATTCGTGTGTGCAAAGCAACGCAATTCTACATAGCTTAGCTGCTTCGTATTCGAAGTATCGACCATGGAGCTTCGAGTCGAGAAGCTCTACGAAGCGGTATGCTTCAGCAGCACCACGCAATGAGCTGGTGATCTTCCTAGTCCCTGAGAGGATTTGGAACACTAGCACACCAAATGCGTAAACGTCGCTTTTCTCTGTGAACCGACCTGTTGTGGTGTACTCGGGAGCTAGATAGCCTCGAGCTGCTGTGGCTTTGAGCTCGGAGAAGACAATGTCATTTGTAAGCAGCTTTTGTAAACCGGAATCCGAGAGTAGCGGATTGAATCGCTGGTCGATATGGACCTTCTCGGCTGAGATGTTTTGGTGTACAAGAGCTGGCTTGTTTGCTTCATTCTTGTGCAGATATGCTACACCTGGTTTTAGATCAAAACATTCAGCTTGGTTTCAATCCATGGCAAGATTTTGAAGAAGTAATAATGTAAATAAGAACGGAGGATACGTCATCACATCATCATATACTATCATCATACCATCATTTAACACCATCACGTCAACATTTAACATCATCACGTCACCATATAACATCATCACATCATCATCTAATGTCACACGTCATCATATAACATCATCACATCATCACATCATCGTTTAACGTCATCACATCATCATCTAACGTCATCATATAACATCGTCATCTAACGTCATCACATCATCATATAACGTCATCACATCATCATATAACGTCATCACATCATTATTTAACGTCATCACATCATCATATAACATAAATGACATATATAAGGGTCACTGGGCACATGTCGTCAACAAAGCCAAGAATGATATCAAAGTAGCTCTAGATATCAAAATAAAGTTCATGCAATAGCTAACCTTTGGCAATGCCCCTTATAATGGATACTCTGGTAGACCAATCAAGAACTTGGCCATCACCATCCTTGATATCAAGATATCTCAACAAGTTACCATTAGGAACAAAATCATAGATAAGAAAACACTCTCCCCTGCCTCTTGAGCAGCAAAATCCTCTAAGTCTCGCCAAATTTTCATGCCTTAATGAAGTTAAAAGGTTCAATCCTTTCAAGAACTCAGCTTCCTCTGACTTGCAGCTAGTTTTACAAATGCTCTTAACAGCAACAACTGATCCATCTCTCAAAATCCCTTTATACGTAGCTGAGAAGTTGCTCTTCCCCAACAAATTCACCTCTGAGAAGTATTGGGTGGCTGTCTCTACCTCTTCTAAATTGAACCTGAAACTTTGGAGCACTTCTTGCCCAAAAACGCTCAAGCCTCGACCGTCTGCTAATGGATCCCAGCCATTGGCATACTCGAGGCTGACAAGAGGAGATCCATTCTTCCTGTACGTTGTTTTGGTTTGATCCGTGCTGAGACGGTGATCACAAATGTCGAATGAAGATCCAAGCTTCTGTTTTCGACGACGGTATTGTGTGAACATTAAGATCCCAATACCTGAAAGTGCTATGGTTACAATAACTACACCAACAATTGAAGCGTTTCGAGATTTGGACGAACTCGATGAACTCGGGCAGCGAGTATGGTTGCAAGGCAACTGAACATTAGCAGTTTCGGGTATGTCTCTTGTGGGCATCGTCCCAGTTGATCCAGCATAAGGTTCAGGTTGGGTTTGAGTAACACGACTCGAGCCGGAACAATCTTTCAAGGAAGGAAACCCAACTCCACATAATCCCAAGTTGTTCTCAAACAAGAATCCTTCATTCAATCTCTTCAGAGCTTCATCAAAGCAAGCACAAGCAAAACAAAGCTCCTACTTAGCATCATGTAAAATAAAAAATGAACAAAACCCAAAAGCATGAAGATCGATCGATACCAGGAGGTACATTGCCAGAGAGCGTATTGTTTCGAACGTCAAGAACTTCAAGCGACGGCGCATCCGCAAGCCTTGAAGGAACAGAGCCAAAGAGATGATTGGAGCTCAAGTCTACTCTCACTAACAAGTCCAATCGCCCCAAGCTTGCAGGGATTGCACCAGTTAACTGATTGGATTGGAGAGCAAGAACAGTGAGCTTCTTCAAAGATGCAAGCTGCGTTGGTATGCTCCCACTCAGCTGATTATAACATAGCTGCAATACTGAAAATGAAGAACAAAACAGCTCAAATATGAGAAAAACAGAGTGCAACACACACAAAACTGACCATTCCAAGCTCAAAACAGTGAAATCACAAGCTTCCCCTTAGATTCAAGAAGCCCACAACCGCTTTAACATAGAGTATTGTGACATTCTAGATCGAAGAAAACCACATGTTCTACAGATTAAATCGAAAAAAAACAATGACCCAGATTCAAAAAAAACAGGGGAATGAAGAAAATCATCATCTCTCTGAAAACAAAATGGATTTCAGGCAGAACTATGAGCTTCAATGGCACTCAAAACTCATGCATGTAGAAGAAAAGGCTGTAAATCTACAATTTCAAGCTACATAAGAACATTTGTTGAAGTAAACAGCAGCCAACAGCAGCCAACATTCACATTCAAAAGCTATCTCACAGCACTTAAAGCAGCCATAGAAAGAAACCAAAGCAAACCTTGTAAGCTCGCCATGTTCCCAATCTCAGGCGGAATCTCCCCAGACAAATTATTAACATTCAAATACAAATCAGAAAGCAGAGTCAAGTTAGCAATCTCTTTAGGAATATCCCCAAACAATGAGTTATAGTGCAAATAAAGCCCAGTCAAGTGCTTAAGCCCAGCAATGGCAGGGGAGAGCTTCCCACTGAGCCCTTTCCCCTGCAGCGACATATTAGTAACCTGCCCCTTCTCATTACACCCAATCCCTTCAAAAGAGGCACATGGGTATCCATCAGCGCTCCACGAAGATAGATATTGATTTTCAGGGTCTAAAGCCGCCTTCAAATCCAGTAGCGCCTTGAGCTCATCGTTGCCCATAATCCGAACTGGGTTCGAGAGGAAAATGAAAAAGGAGATGAAAATGAAGGAAATGGGGGCCGCCATTGATGAAAGTGGGGCGTTTCTGGGTGTTCTAGATTTGGGTTTGCAGAGGAATGAAGAAGAAGATGAAGGGGGTTTTCATTAGAGGAGGTTTTTTTGGGAGAAATTGGGCTCAGAGTGGGGGCTGAAAAGGGTAGATTCTTGGGAGATTAAAGCCTGCCTGTAATGGAGATGATGATAATATTTTTATTGGCCATAAATTATTGAATTTGCAGACTTTTTTTTCCCGTTTTTTATTTATTTATTTTTTATTTTTGTTGAACTTCAAGAACATAAAAGGAAATAAGTTGAGATGCATTCATGATTCAACTATTCAAAATTGATATAATAGAAAATATATTGAAAAATATTTTTTATTTTTAAATTTAGTAAAAATAGAAAGAAAAACGATTTTAGTGGATTGAATATCAGCCGCTCGATCTGTGGAATGTGCATGAGACCTCATGGAGTCTCGCCATTTTCTGATGATTGGTCTTGGTCGTCAAAGTCAAAACAAACGAAGGAGAAATGATACGCTACTTCCACTCGCACCATAATGTTTGACTTCCTAAGTTCAATCATGCCATTGAATTATCACGATTGGTGTGGTGATGGCGAGCTCATTATATCTTTTTTTTTTTAATAGAAAAAATAAATAATGATCAACCAAACAGTCTTCTATCCATAATTATCAACTCCAAATGATAATGTTTTCCAAATATTAGACAATATATGTGTGTTCTTTTTTAATGATTGTAATAAATTGATTTAGCTAACTTAGAAGTTAAGTTTATTGAGTAATTTTTGTGGTTTTTATGTAATTTATCTCATAGTTTTACTCAAAACATTGCAAATAATAAAAAAAAAAAACATAAATATTTATATCTCAGTTGTCGAGCTGAAATATTTGAATGTGGAATTCAAGTGTACGTGTGAGATCCCATATCAGTTGAAGAGGGTAACAAAACATTACTTATAAGACTGTATAAACCTTGTTGGATGATGAAAGTAACATCAGCTAATTTAAGGAATGATCATGGGTTTATAATAAAATAATATTAGCTTTTCGTGAATCTCAAAACAAAGCTATGAGAGTTTATGCTCATCATACCATTGTAGAAAGTCGTGTTTATCTGATAAACATTTCTCCAAAAAA